TTTTTTTTTTTTTTTTTTTCCTGTGAAATTGTTGTGTGATTTGGTTGTATCATGTGGATCATTCACTCTTTAAATTAATGCTTGAAAGTTCGTGTCATTTTTTTTCGGAGCTAGTTTGTTGTAGATAATGGGTCTGTGTCTAGACTATATGCACCACGAGAAGTTTTTTTCAAGAACCGAATATATTATCTTTTTCTGGGTCCTCTGACCTGTTTCTAACTCGTCCTTACATGATATGATGTGTCTGTGCCTTGTGCGTTGATATGATGTAGTATTATCTGTGCCTTATGCGTTGATGTGATGTGTTCGTGCTTGTGAGTTGGATCAAATCACATACTCGTTCAAACTATTTATGTATTTTCTACATGTGTTCTTTAGTTAATGCAATTTTAGCTCTTAAATATGTTTATGTATTTGTGTTTGCAATTTATGAATTGAGATTCATCCAAAGTTATGGCCACTATATATGTAGTCGAACGAAATCTTAATATTCAGGAAGTTCAAAAAGTTCAAAGTACTATTTCTAGTCTTACCATCTGTGCACTTATTTTTTCTATGTTCATGCATTGTTTATTAATTCACAGCAAGCAAGCGTAAGACTGATGCACTAAGACAGACAGTGTGTGCGCCAAACAACGAGTTGAAAGAAGTTAACCTCACTGAAGCTAAGAATTTTAAGCCCATACATACGGGGCTGAAAAAGGGCGATGTTATTTGATATGTCAGATGTTATTTGATATGTCAAGTTGTTCGATGGTTACGTTTGTCGTAGTGGTGTCACGTTTTTCTTCATTATATATATTCTATTTTGATGCGTACATTCGTATGCTAAGTGATTATTCGTTATTAACACCATGGATTGGATGATTGTCTAGTACTTGTTATGATACGTTTTTGGGGCGGTTTTGGTATGTCGACATGATATTGTTTTTGTGTGAATGAACGATGTGATATGATTATAAATTATTATGCAAATTAAGTTTCAGGTTTATGGTATATGGTGTTTTGGCAGATCGAGTTTCAGGTTCATGGTGTGGTGTTTTGGCAGAAGCTATCGACATTTTAATTACGACGAATGTTGATAAAGTGCAACATGATATGTTATATAGTGCAACAGGATGTTTATTAATGTGCAATGCGATGATATATAATGCATTACTGTAGCGTATATCGTGGAATCGCTTATGTCGTTAGTCACGTGAAAATGTTGGCGTCAAATTTGTGACAATTTGTGGCGATGATAATAAGGCGCCACGAGTTATGTATAAAGTTCAATGATACATCGTGTAACACGCAACGAGTTGATGTATATAGTGCAATTACGTATCAATCTATCGTGAACACCAACGTAACAAGTACGCGTTAAATTGATAAGCTAACGCATAACATACATATTTGTGTAAGTTGTTACTTGATTGTAATATTATTTCTACTCGTTGTATATAATCCATATATATGTAAGCTTTTACCAGCGATTGTCACATGTAATGATGTCCACCAACGACTTTACTCCAACGACTTTCATAAAGTTCCCGCTTAGTGTATATAATTGTTGTATTTATGTGAATGTACCTGAAGTATTAATATTGGAATCACTAGTACTATTGGCCTAAATGTACATTTTGTACAAATAGGTTGTTTAGTGCACGTTACGGTGTAATGTTGCAATGTTGTACGCGAGTAAGCGAGTACGTGAATATTATGTCGCTATAATGAATGGTTTTGTAATCGTGTAAATAAATGCAACCACACATTATTTTGGTTTTTAAGAATCATATGGTACCTACATATGTTCGAATTGCCGATCAACCCATCTCACGTGTTGACTACATCTTTCATATTATATCACCTATTTTTGTTGTCGAGCTATCAGTCATGAGGTGCAATCATTTTTTAGTAAAAGTGCAACGTAGTGTGCAGACAAGTGCAATATACATGTCACATTCATGAATGTTGTGCACATACAATGATTATGTAACTGGTACACTAACTCTCATATCAATTACAACTCATCATCGTTATTAAGGCAAAAAAAAAAAAGATACATTAAAGTGATTGTCATAAAATTAATAGTAACAATCAAGTGCCACATATCTTCAACCAAATAACATAATGTTTATACATTTCAAGAAAAAAAAAATACGAATATAAATAAAGCTAACATTAAACCATATGTCTCTTTGCTTGGAGATGAATTCCCATTAACCACCTGTAGCCTGTGTCTGCAGGTAGTTTTTTTCATATGTTAATAATCATATATCACACCCGATACACATTATACCGGCGTATGAATACATACATACGGTAAAAAACATACATGCGATGAATTTTTTATGTCCACGATAAAGCCTGATTGATTCGTCTCATTGTGGTATCCAATATTTTGTTCCACGATATGATTAAAAGTTGTTGATTCATAATCGATGGCTGCATGTCATAAGTGTCACTGGAAGGAAAAAAAAAACAAATAAGTACTATTAAATTAAACCCAATGATTGCACCGATGTCAACATACAGTTGCACACAATAGGTTTGATTGTTGCACTTTACCATAGTATAAATAAAACTTATCTCGATACCTGGTTGAGATTCATTCAATCCCATTGTTTATGTGGCTCAACCAGGAAAAATGTATCCCTAAAAAGAACATATAATAACAAAGGATATCAGTATTAATTGCGATATGAATATTACAATATCTCGATAGGTTGATATTAGAACCTACAACACTCGGTTCATATAATAACATATATATTGGTCTTTTTATAGTTGGTCATTGATGTACCTGAGTTCGTCGATGATATGGTATGGCGTCTCAATCGGAAATCTCGGACTCGCAATTTAAAAATTGGTTTAAAATACCACTGTAATATGGAAAAGCTCGAACTCGAAATTGATATGGTTTACCGCTTCATGTAATTCCTTTAATCTTTGTCCTTTATATGGTTTAATTGATTCGTCACAGTGTGGTATCTAATGTTTTGTTCCACCCGGTTGACTAAAAGTTGCTAATGTGTAACCGGTGGGTGCATGCCTTAAGTGTCATTGGAAGGAAAAAAAAAAAGTTACTAATACTAAACTAAACCCACCGATTTCACTATTGTGAACATATGATTGCACACATTAGACATGCATGTTGCACTTAATTACAGAAAATATAAAACTGGACTCGATACCTGACTGAGATTCATTCAAATACATTGTTTATGCAGCCCAAACAAGAAAACGTATGAAATCCCTAATGAACATGAAAAACCAAAGTATATCATACCATTTTTTCACTAATTACTGTACAATAATTGACCAATTGAGCATACAACACCCGATTCATACAATATTTGGCCAATTCTTCAGTTTATATGTCGTGATCTATATACCTGAGGTCGTCGAGTGTGTAATATGGCCGCTCAACTGGATTTTTTGAACTAGCGAATGGGAAATTGGTTGGGAATCTCCTGTAATATGGAAAAATCGAGCTCGGACTAGTGGATTAACAATCGGGAATCTCCTGTAATATGGAATCTCCCATTAATTTCATGTTAATTGCTCACGAAAATACCAGCTGCGGGAGATATGTACGAGATTGGGTTTGTGAATATGAGGCATGGGCTTAGTTGAGGGTTTCAGCTGAGAGAGAATTCAACTAAATCGATTGATATGGGGTAAGCAGTATATTTACATTATTACCCTCCAATGAATGGGGCGAGTAAATTGCAGCGCGCTCGCGGTGGCCATCAGATTGCTTTGATCCTGCGTACCTAATTCATTCTTATTTCTTTCGGTAAGAGTCATTCTTACCGGAATATATATATATATTATGAATACATAATATATATATATATATATATATATATATATATATAAACCAGCTTCTTGTAAGATAAGAGAATCAATATGTAATATGTTGTTTCACTTGGAAACGAAAAAAGAAAGGATAAATTAATTGCTTGTTTACTTTGTAATAAAGATTACACGAGCCAGTGAGTTATTTATTTATTTCTTAAAAAAAAAAAACGAAGAAAAAACCCGGAAGAGCCCCAAGGTTGGGTCTTCAACTTTTATATATATAATATATAAAAAAAATCACAAGGCCACACATGTCCGAACAAAAACGAAAAAAAAGGAAAAATAACAACCAAAACAAATATTTTGAACCCGGGCCGATAGGTGTTCAAGCGAACAGAGACATCATAAAGTGGGTCAAAGTACAACAACCACAAAACGACTACTAAAATCTGAACGAGGGTAGCTTACTAAAAT